GGGGGGTTGCTGCTGCTTGCTTTGGCCGGGGCTTGGTGGAAACGCCCGGAAAGGCTAATGAAAAAGTTTAACAAAATTTGTTTTCTAGGCCTGCATGGCAAGATCTGAGACCATAATATTTAGTCTAGGACCTGTATATGAGTTTGTATGCGTTTCATTTACCACAGGTAATCTCAACTGTTTTAGGGTAAATTGACCATGGCGGTCGGCATGGCATATGTGCCGAAACCTGAATCCTGGACGAAAGTCCTGAAAATGACCCCGCCCTGAAACGGCAGTGCCGACATAGCTCTAACTTCCGAAAAGCAAAAGCGACAGCCTTTCTGAAGCGCTTATAGTGTTTAGAAAGGTGCTTTTAGGGGTGGTTATTGGAAGGAAAAATGTGTGTAAGTATAATATTTTACAAGAAAATGACCATTTATCACCCCAGGTAAATTGCTGATTATGCAGAAAATAACTAATATACATGGCAGAAATTAAATATCCTTATTTCCTAAAAAAAATTACCATGGGATGAAAAACTATGCTTAGTTTAATATAATTATTGTAGTTTTCATAAGGATAGTCACTGTTTTCTATAAATATAATATATTTTATTTCACTTACCCCCCACGAAAACACGATTTCAGCCATATTTTGCCGTCTTGTTTGCTTTATATCGCCGTGTCTCGCAAATAACATCCAGTTGTTGTACTTTTACATAATGGCAAATGGATAAAGGAGATTTCAACCAAGTTTCGGCAAGTTTTGGAGCAGTGCAGTGTATTTTATCTTCGATATTGTGTCCTTCGATATTTCGTCCATATGCCGCCATTTTAATGGCTCGCCGATTCTCTGCCCGATAAATGCCACTTCTTCGTCTTCATATGTATTTAGATTACAGTATCCAAGAGTACTTCATTGTAGAATAGTCCTAAAAGAAAAATTGAAAAAATTACTTGCACTTTGAAGGAAAAAACCTCCCACAACAAATTCAGGATAGGAATAAAAACAAATCATTTGAAAGTCACGTGCAATCTTCGCGAAAATTCCTCGTGGCTACTTGACAGGGGGGGGGCGAATATTTTCACGAAACGTTGTTCCCACAGCAACCTAACTGGATGTCTGGATATATTATATTTATTGCATTTTTATGATTGATA